TCCAGCAGCATTTCTAGAGTCAAGACAAACAAACATGCAAATAAATCCCAAGAGAATGAGGGTGGCAGTTTTGAGCCAGAACTAATGCAAATGCATAAAAAAAATTAAACATCTCCCTTTAGAAGCAAATAAGACTGACCATCCTTAATAAAATATTTTTCTCCTTCACTGAACAGAACTCCCCGGTTGCTTTCAAGAATCTAATGAAAATTATTTTCTTTCCATTTTAAAAATAGTGTTTGGGAAGTTTTTTATGTCTGAGATACACCCTGGCTATTTTAATTGAGCTAAAAGGGTTGACTGAGTAAGGGGGAAATTAATGTCTCTTTGAGGTAAAAAATAATAATCTTAAACACCTTGAAAGACAGAATAATGAGTCCATGCCTTAACAAAGCTGTTCCATACCCTTAAGATCATAAAATGTCACATAGTCACAGTACCTTTTTTCTGGTTAAATTATTTCAGAAACTACAGATTACTCAACCCCTACTACTACAGAGTAGAGTAGGAGAGAAATGTTTTCCCACATGACTCTCTAAAACTAAATTCTTTCCCACTAGCTTTGGAAACAAGTGACCTTAGAAATAGATTACTATGGCCATTCTATGTGTTAGGATGATTATGTTCAAGCCTGTAAGGCAAGTGTGTGAAAAAAAAAATAGTACTAGAATCCATAGATTGCATTGGACATGGATTATATTGCTCCAGACTCAAGACTAACTTTCCATGTTCTTTATGAGTCACCTGAGAGTAGACAATACGGAGGCCTTTTCAGTACTATAAAATTATACCCTGCAAAATTACAGGCTATTCTAACTACAGCTATCTTCAACAATATCCAAGTAATGCCAACCTGCTTTCTTAATATACCAATTCACTAGATGAGAATTAATGAAGTGAGACTACAGTTTTTGAGTTTGGGGAAACCGTACTCAAATAGTTCTAGAACAAGAGTGTCAAACTTGAGTTGTCACAGCCTCATGATGTGATGTATCGTGACTTTTTCCATAATTTGGCCTTTGCTCAATTAATGAAACAATTAATAAACCTTCAGCAGAATATTAAAGACTTAGTAAGCCCAAGTTAATGGAATTCTTTATCTGACAGCCAAAGATAAATTATCAGTCTTCTCTGATATAGAATAAGGGATTTAGATGAAGGATTTTTATTTATCAACTTTATTGATAAATGACAATTAAAAGGCTTAATCCAATATAGGAGTTGTCTCTAGGGAAACATTATAAAGTAGGAAATAAATGTGTGGACCAAAGCTATGAAATATATTTTTAAAACATACTTAAATGTGCATTAAAATACACTTTTATTTCCTTCAAGAAACTGGATGCTAGGATATTTATTTTATTAATAGAGGATTCATACTTTTGCTCTAGCAGAAATTAAACTGGGCTTTCATGGGAGGCAAATGATGGATTAATTTTAATTTTAGTGGAGGATAAGAGAGACATTTTAGCAAAGTACATTTTCCAATTGAGTAGGGACTCTAATTTGTGGCTTTAAGGTAGTTTTCCCTGAAAATTCTGCTAGGGAAGCAAAGTTGCCAAATACCAACTTAGATTTCTTATATATTTTCCTGAATTGTAGGTTTGAGTGAGCCTCATAGTATTTATTTAAAATTTGAGAGAGAAGAATAGGAAAGGGTATGTGTATAGCACAGCTGCAGTTATAATTTAATTCCTTGGATGCAAAATCAACGAAGAAGAGAAAAAGCCACCAAAATGGAAGATCAGGCTGGAAGGTAAGATTAGTAGAGTAAGATCAGATTCAAGCAAGCTAGAACAAATAAAAAAGAACAAGAAAACCAAAGAATATATGACAATGAAATATCAACTAGAAGTAAGGAACATTAAGGAAGCACTGGAAATAATAAAGCAACAAGTAACAACTATACTCAAAAAGATCAGCAGATACAAAGATAGAATTGCTAATTATAGGTGGAATCTCAATTTGAGTCAAACCAGAAACATTTCTCCCAACTCAACCATGGAGAGACTGAAGTGAACCAGTCAACACCTGACAAGAAAAATACAGTGTGGTTCTGGATGCAGATGGAACAAGCCAAAGAAATGCAACAAGAATGCAGCTTAGATAAAGGATGTGGATATGAAGGAACTTGTAATAACAGCAAACATGGACAAGGAAGATCAAGAATTGATCAGCATCAGGTGAAGATGAACTGCATATTTTGATTCAAATATCTGATGGTCTATACCCACTAATTGCCAAGTAGTTTAGCAACATACTATATAAGGAGGTAAAGTTGAAAGTTAGTTAACATCTGGCAAAACCTGATAATGAAAGATTCAATAACACTAGCCAATCTATGGGCCAAAACCTGCTTACGAACAACTTTCAAATTGCTAAATGGTGTGACTGTACAAGACTATGTTACATTGTTTAAAGATGAAGAATACATAATATTCAGGGATGGGATTCAAATTTTTTAACAACTGGTTCTGTGGGCGTGGCTTAGTTGGTGGACGTGGCTTGGTGGTCTTGTGACTGGCTGGGCGTGGCCAACTCAATATCACTCACATTGAGGCACGCATCTCCTCACCTGGCCTCTCATGACTGGGGATGCTGCAACAGTCGTAAGTGTGAAAAATGGTCATAAGTCACTTTTTTCAGTGCCATTGTAACTTTGAATGGTCACTCCACACAAAGTACCAGCAAACGAGGAAAATAAACCTCCAGAGAAGTTTCAGAGACAGGAAGTCTAATCCTGCCAAGAATGTAATAAGGGTTAACTGACAGGCAGTGTCTGTATGCAACACCAGAATGTTTCCTTCCTGCCTTCCTTACAGGATTAGGCCAGTAATTTCTTCTAACAACCGGTTCTCCAAACTGCTTTGAATGTTAACAACTGGTTCTAGTGAATAGGTGCGAACTGGTAGAATCCCACCCCGGATAATATTGAATACTAGCTGGATACTCGTGCTTCGCAATGACACTATGTGATTGGGCTATGCAGGAGAAATCCGGTTCACAATCTGTTGGCTCAGTGGTGGTCGGTGATTGAAATATGTAAGGGAATATTGCTCCCGCCGTCTTGAGTCCAGAAGCAGTTCCATAGGTGGAAAGCGTAGAGATTTTGGTGAGGTACCAATATTTAGTATTGTAAGGAACCTCAGACCGCTCCTGAGTAAAGGTGTGGAATGTTTGCCAGTTTGAACTGAGGTAACAGAACGTGAGGCAACTGGCAGTTGGAACAGAGTTCTTTTCAGGTGGGGTGGGGGAATAGAACTCCTTAGCATCAGAGCATGTTAATTACTGTATTAAGAAATAGTAAAGTTCTGATGGTCATTTCAAAAAATCATTTCTTAACGAGCACCTAGAAGCCAAGAGGAACATAAGTGCCAAATTTAAAGTTTGAAGGCTTTGCAGTTCTGGGGATTTCATGATGAGTGTATGGTACTTGGCTTTTATATATATTGATTAATGGGGCAAATACCCCATCCAACTGGAAAAAAGATGTCACTATCTGAGGAAACTAAATGTTACTTTATTAGACATGTCAGGAACAAATATAAAACATAATAAAATATAAAACAAATGTAGTGTTCTCATTTGTAAAGGGTCCTCGATATATGAAGTGGATATAACTCTAGAAAATATGCATTCAAAAAAATATCAAGTTTGACGTTGTATTTTACATAGCCTGGCAATGTTTTCAATTCATATTTGTTTGATAGACTAAATAAAGGTATGTGTCATGCGATATATGATGGATTTAAATGAGGTTAAGGATGAAACACGTAAATCATAGCTATTAGTGTATTTAACCTCTAGGAAAATATGCTTAATACGAAGAAGTTTAAAGATGTTCTCCACTCATATGCTTTTAATGGCGGTTTTACTAACATACAATTGATGAACGGGGGCTTGGCATTGAGATGAAAGATTTGGAGAAACATCTTTTAAAAATCCCTTTAAATATATTTTTGTCCTTAAAAGCATAAGGTCAGGCAGGAAAGTGGGGCACACTATCTAGCATAAAATAAGTATGTGCATCTACACTCATGGGAAGATATTTTAGGGAAACCTGGTATGATTCTGGTAAGCAAAAATAATACAAGCAAGTAACATCTTCTCTATTTTTTTAGAACATAGCATTAAATCCGATCTAAGTATAGTATATAAAATCATACATTGCAATGTCCTACCTGTCAATGAATACTTCAGCTTCAGTCATAACAATACAAGACCACACAATAGATACAAACTCAAAGTTAATCACATCAAACTTGACTGCAGGAAATACAACTTCAGCAAGAGTGGTCAATGTTTGGAATACTCTACCTGACTCTGTGGTTTCTTCCCCAAACCCCAAAAACTTTAACCTTAGACTGTCTACTATTGACCTCACTCCCTTCCTAAGAGGCCTGTAGGGGATGTGCATAAGTGCACCAATCGTGCCTACCGTCCCTGTAATATTGTTTCTTTAATTTTTCTTATATATATCCATGTATTCATAACTATGTTTTTACATATGCCTATTATCTTGTAAGCAATTGACAAACCAAATAAAATAAAATAAAATAAAAAATAAGCATAAAATCATTACTTTTTTTTGGTGAAACTGAGGAAAAAATAAACTTTTCCTAAAGCTAAATTTAATAATCCTTACTGCATCACGTTTTCTATTTTTCAAACAAATAGATTCCATTCACGAGTTATCGCTCCCTATCAGAATTGCTATTTGACAGACGACGTAAAAAAACAAAGCCTAAAAATTGCCAACTGCTATTGGCTACTTTATTGACGTTATCATTTGTTTTTGACGCAACACCCTTGCCTCTTCATTGGTCGTGGAGTTGCGGGGCGGAGTCTCTCCGCTTGCAGACCTGACGCAACAACCGGGCGTCCAGTCCGAAGGAAGGATACATCGACTCCTCTTCCCTCCCAGAGATAGGGTCACGTGCCCTAGTGTTTACATCCTCTCAGCTGTTTGGCTTCTCCCCTCCCCCACCTCCCTCCTCCTTCCTGGCGTCGTTCAGGCCAACACAAACAGTCAGGAGCAGCAGCCGCGGCCGGCGGGACTAGGCTGACGGCGAGGAGAACCTTCTTTCCCCTCCCCTCCCCCCACCCCACGACACACACACACACACACATACATATCCACACTCAGTGGACAACGTCTTCTCTGGACTCGGAGCCCGAGACGCCTCTTTCTTTCTTAAACTGGTTTTGTTTCCGCTCTAATAGCCTCTCAAAGCTTCAGTCCTCTCTTCGGGACGCAGAGGACGTGTGGAAGGTGAGTCGGATGGTGAGGTGGCGGGGGAGACGCTGACAGAAAAAGGAAGCAATCCAAACAACCTGGCTGGCGAGTTTACTTCTCTGAAGGCCGTTGAAAGCTCCGGGGAAAGTCCTTCTTCCGCCCTCAAGAGTCCCCGGCGCTTCCCCCCCCCTTCCTTCCTCTTTGATTCCCCCCCCCCCCCCCCGGGCTCGGGACTCTGGGAAAGTGTGCAGCCGGGGATGGGGAGCGGGGAGAGAGGGGAAGAGTGTCTGCCGTTCTTTACGGGAGGAAGTTCGAGCCTCGCTGTATCTGAGAGGCTCTTAGTCACCGAGCGTTTATAAACAAATAAAAGGCAAGGGCTCAGAGCTGAGGACAGAAGAAGGGCGGCGGTTGTTAATGCTACCCGGCTGCTCCTCGCCGCCTCCGGCTCTTTAAATGAGGCGGCCCCCTTTTCCTCCGAGCGTTTGCAAAACCGTGGCCGGGACTATAAAAGGGATAAATAAACAAGTTGGAGGCGCCGTCGCCTCTGCCGCTTCCTCGCTCTGCCAACTGGCCGCCAGTTGGCTTGGTGTCGAGAGGTGCTAAAGTGGAAGAGATCAGATGAATCAGCCGAACAACAAAGGAGCAGAGGGGGCACCCGAGTTCCCCCACCCGTCCACTTCACGAGAGGAAAAGAAATTGGTTTCTCTCTTCTCTTTTCGCTCCTCCTCCTCCCCGGTGCTTGCCAGAGTTTTTCGCCAAGGCGCTGAAGTTCACGCATCGCTTTAATGTCGGCTGAAGGCTGTCCCAAGGTAGGACGCGCCAAGGCTTAGGTGAAACGGTTAAGTTTCTCATTTAATTCTCACACTCTTTTGTAGGAGAGCCTCTTAAGTGTCGGACTGGGGGAGAGAAGCCGACTGCTTTTTTGTAGGCAAACTTAAAGCTGCTGGGCTGCACGGCCTTGCTGTAAAGTGAGAGCCTGTTTGCGTTTACCCCCCCCCCCCCCCCCCTGAAGTGGGTAGCTTTGGATGCTGAATTAAAAGTGTGCAAAAATTGGTTAAATGTCTATGGAGATTCTCAGTCATCCAGGTCCTGGTTGCCCCAAAGGTGCTTTTTCAAGAGGCAACTGGATTTTCTGGATTTTCTTTTTCTTTGAAGACCTTTCGCTTCACATCCAAGAAGATTCTTCAGCTTTGACCTTCTGTTCCCCACCATTCAGTTAGAGCTGAAATGTCTTCAAAGAAAAAGAAAAACCGGAAAGTCCAATTGCTTCTTGAAAAAGCATCTTTGGGACAAGAATTTGTGACTGCATTGGTTTATGCCAGAGTAAGAAATGCCTTTTTCATTTGCCTCATTTCTTCACTGGGTAAGGACCTTTAGGGGAAAGCAAAAGAAAGACCATTAAGGAAGAAAATGTAAGAAGTCAATCCTGTGTCCTCTCCTGAGATTTTTAGACTTGTAAGTAATATCATGTAGTGCTTCATCCTGTATAAAAGTTGTAAGTATGACATGGAATAAGACTCTGCCAGCTTTGAATGTTTAATAGAAATACACATTTTGCCATCAAGAGAATAAAATCTTTGGTATATTTATCTACTTCATTCAACAAATTTTTAAAAATCATCCAGAAGTTTTTTTTTCCAAAAAAAAAACATCAAATGGTAGAATTGGAACATCTTCAATTGAAGTTAGTAGATTTAATGACAAAACAAAAATCCAGTATTGCATCAATGAATAATTGAAAAATGAAGTCCATTTTACAATGGCCCAAATAATTTGACTGCCATCAATAACCATTTGTAATTACAATGCTAATGAAAAAGTAATATTGGAATCACTCCTCACATTTATGATTTCATAGCTCTGTAAAGCAAAGCAAAACGGAAGATCGGAGGCACAGTTGTGGTTTCACTAAGTGATTGCTTAATGACCAATTTCCCAGTTCCAGTTGTGGTTGCTAAACAAGGACTACCTGCATAAGATTCCAGATAATTTGAGATTGCCTTTATTTTGGGTTTATTCCTTACATATAACAATATAAGGAACAAATCTTTACAGACCTATGTAAAGGAATAAACCATATTTAATCAGGATTCATCAGCTGCTGATATGTAATATAATAAAAATATATTTTTGTACATTAAAGACAGTCTGTGTTGACATGCTCAAGCTAGGATGCATTTGCTTAATCCCAGCAGAACAAGCAAAATGGTGTTAAAAACACAAAATAACAGAAAAAAAGCCCATGACTCCCCATACCCATTTCTAGGGGGGGAAACCTAGGGTGGAATGATTATATTTTTAATTGAAATAAGTTAATATTTTAGAACATTATTTGAATCAATTTACATAATTAAAACTTTCTGACATCTAGGAAATAAAGTATACTATTATGTAGATAATTCCTGATGTTTGAAAAGATACAATACATGTAGAATGATGAAAGCTAAATATATCTGGTACAATAGAGCAGTTTTACAAATCCAGTCCACTTATTTTTCCCCATGGAATTTGTTTTGCACGTTATACATCTTCTGTGCCATACATATTCATTTGATCTCCTAAAGCAAACTCAAAATATTGTTTCAACCTGGACAGCATCCCCAGTTCCGGATGACTGTAGTGCAATGAAAGGTGCAAGTTAAAAGCTGAAGTTTTATGACAAAAATCCCATGTAATTAAGCATATGTTTCTTATAATGCCAAAATATCCTTCAGCATAATTAAATATTCCTTATTATATAATCCACAGGTAATATGGTGATATATAGTGCCTCTGATATTATAAATAATACTTTACCATACAGGTAATTTTCAAAAAGAGTTACAACCTGGATTTGAGGTTTTGACAGCCAGGATCACTATGCAGACACAGGATTGCATTTTGGGCACTTTATGGCCATTTGCAGCATGAATGCAATCTACTTTTTTTTTTGCGGGAAATCAGCGTTTACTTATGATTTGGGGGTGGCGGGGGATGCCCATTACAGGCAGTGAGTTCCTTTCGTGACTGGTTTGCTTAATGACCACTGCAAAAATCATAAAATTGGGCACTGTTACATAGTGACCTGCTCAATGAGCAGCACAGCTTAGGATCATAATTCCCGGTTCAATTATAGTAAGATAATGGCTTCATCTAATGATCAATAACTATGAATATGAATATTACATTTCCACATTATTAGTCTGATTAGAAACTTGAATTATGACATTATTTCTAAGGATAAATTCTATTCTGGAATATAGATCTTGTAGACAAATAAATGCAGCCCTATGTTCTTATAATAGTAACTGAATCTTATGCATAAACCTCATTCAGGTGAACAAGACTAAAAATTTCCGGGACAATGCATATCCATACTTAGGACTGAGCTGTATTTTTGGATGTTAATGCTACCAAATTCTTCAATCTCATGAAGTAAATTAAAAATGACAGTTCTGTTATAATTCCTTAGATATTCTGTTTTCAAGAATTCATATAACAATTAAGCCCTTTTATTATAATGTGTATTACTTTTTTCCATTTGATGCTAGTTCCAGACAGTATAAGCCAGACTTTGGCATTTTATGTCCTGTGGCCAGATCTGGCCCTTCGCTTGTACCTGCCCAGTCTGCAATGGCAGCAGTGGACAGGATGATGGGAGCAGGGACCAGTAGTGTCAACTGTATACAGCAGTGCCAGTCTCTCTTTTTTTCATCAATTTTTATTAGTTTTTCAGGATCTAAAATGCAAAGAAAACTGGAAAAAATGAGAAATTAGGTAGGGGAAGGGGAAGAGGAGAAAATCTAAAGGGGAGGGGGAAAGAAAGAAAAGCATTGACATCTCACCCTTTTTAGCATAGTAGAATAAGATAATAACCTTACAGCATCAATATTTTACTCTTACAGAATAATATATATAAGCCATTTCTATAACAAATAGTCCCAGTTTTTCATGTGGCTCCTTGGGAAAATTAAATGCCCTGATATAAACTAAATTAAATGTTGGTTCTTAATATGTGCAATTATGCAATAAGCTATATACCTACTACATTTAATGTTAGCCAAAAGGCCAAGAAGTCTCTTCCAGTGTATGTAATTATCTTAATATTGTACAGAAATGAAGAGATAATTCCCACCTGTTATTTCATACTTTTAACAGAAACAAATAAAAAATGGAAGGTTGACATGGGAAGCAAGTAGGAGCCTTGGTATCTGGCAGTTGGCATATGGCACTTCAGTCAGGGTGAAATAAATCCAAAGCAACTGCTCTTTATCTGTTACAAGTAGTGCATAATATATTTTGTCTCTTAAAATAAATGTATGATTTTATGTTCCTGATTATTATAAGCATACAGTACACACAAGGATGTGTGTGTAAGTCTTTGCTGTAAAGTTACTTTCTCTCCATGATTTTTACCCCACATTTCTTGAAATCTTGCATCTCTAATTCAGTCCTCACCATCCCCATTGTCACAAAGCAAGGAACACAGATCATTAAGTAAGGATCTTCTTGGGACTTTCTGGCTTCTTCCAACAAACAAAGTCAATGGGAAAACTAGTAGGAAGTTCTAAATCTCAGGCAGCTAACAAGCAGGTTGCTGGGCAGTAAGTGGCTGCTTCCAGGTAAGACAAGATGGATGGGGGACTGCCATGTTTTATTTTTGTATGCATGCTGTAGGTACACTGTAGCTGTGCTCCTTGGGGGCGGAAAAAAACAGGAGTGTGAGCGACTTAGAAGAGTGACTTGTGACCTTCCCTGCTGGCTTCCCCATTGACTTTGCTTATGGAAGCCAGCAAGGAAGGTTGCAAATGGTGATCTTCTGGCTGTGGGGCATTGCAAGTGTTATAAGTACAATCCAGCTGCCAGGTTTACATGTCAGATTGTGATTACATCTGGGTGCTGGGATGGCTCAAACTTTGAATCATAAATAACACTTGTTCAGTGTAGTTTTAACATTAAACAGTTCCAGAATGAATGGTCGTTAACTGAGAACTACGTGTAGTTTGTTAAGATACTGTATCTTAAAGAAATTGTGAAAAAAAATCTTGATAATTAAA